GTGGTATTTCTGGGGGCGAGCCGGCCCATTCGTGCTAAGATGTTAAAGCGGGCTCTACCACTGTTAAAAGGTGTAGTACTCTTAGTCATCAGTATACCAGTCAGTAGCAGCAGTAATTATGAATTCAATATTAATAAACATTTTTACCAAATTAATTTAAACTGTGAAATGTTTTTTTAATTAATTAAGATTAATTACTATTTAAATTGAAGTAATTGGGTTTTAAAAATATTATACTCATCGAATACTGTGTTAATCGTAAGTTTACATAGAGACAGGAAGAAAGGAAAATTGTCAATCGCTTAAGAAATATTTTTCGATTAGTAGAAGATAAGTAATTACTAAAGTTAAATTTATTTTTTGATATAGTTTAGAAAAAAATGGTTGTCTTGTTCAGTTGTATTTAAAAAAAATGATGTGATTTCCACTAACTTTTTTTTAAATCTGCTTTCGAGTGAATTCTGAAAAAAATATTAAAGTATATTGCACTCAAGAGTTGAATGTTTTTATTTGCTCTAAGCCAATCAACCATATGTTTACTGAAACAGAATATATATTGTATGAATCATATTAACCAGTATTGACTTTATTGATTGTTGACTTTTTTATGTATTTATTTTGAATTGTAATTGTTTATTACTTTACATATGTTGTATCTAGCAAATATTTATTTAGTTTTACAATAATTTATGTATAAAATCTATTGTCTTTAATTGCAAGCTAATTGTATTCGTTTTATTTGTCAAGGTAAATAAACATATGTATTTTGTTTTAAACCAAATTTGTCTATATACTTCTGTTATAAATCTACACTTATATTACAAAAAGGGTTTATTTGTATATATGTATGTGACGAATAAATCATTTTGCCATAACTTCCATAAACTTACATCTTTAGTAATTTTTTAATTTCGCGCGGACGTAGTCGCGGGCAAAAGCTACTTAAGGGAAAATGCTTTTTTAGGATTCAATTAGATTTTTTAATTTTTGTGATTTAGAGATGTAATACCTTGGTAGATTAGTGTGTTGATTAAATATAATTCATGTTAAATAGTGCAGAAACTAAATATTTTCTATCCATTAAGAACAGGAATTAGATTTCGTAAGATCCGGTTTAACAGACGTTTTAACTAAAGAGTTACTATTAGCCAGATTATGACGTCATAACATAGTATTATGACGTCATAATCCAAATCAATTCACGCAGGCGCAGTAGTGTACCGGATAATGAGATTAGAAACAACTCAAGTATTAATTTTAATAAAACCTGATATTTATCCGTTTCTTTAGATAGAAAAAATTACAAGACCAACATATTAGAACACTAGCTGTTGCTCGCGATTTCGTCTGCACTAAATAAAAATATTAATAAAAATATAGCCTATGTTACTCACTGGAAAATTAGCTTTTTAATGGTGAAAGAAATTTTTAAATTGGCCCAGTAGTTTTTGAATTCTTTCAATACATTTAAAAATCCAATAATACTTCTTCTCTCTTCATAATATTAATATATATTAGTATAGGAGTATAGATATAGATTTCATGATCAAATTTAATCAACAATGAACAAACGCTTGAAATTTATCAGGGGCAAAGGTAATATAAATTATGAATTGGCAAAACACACTTATCTTTTAACATAGTATTACTACGAACATGCTTATCCCAACCAATAATGTGAGAAGAATATCATTTTGGCATTTCCCTTAACGACAATTAATCGAAAACGTGATTCAAATGTAGATGTAGATGTAGATGTAGATATAGATGTAGATGTAGATGTAGATGTAGATGTAGATGTAGATGTAGATGTAGATGTAGATGTAGATGTAGATGTATATGTAGATGTAGATGTAGATGTAGATGTAGATGTAGATGTTGATGCAGGTGTAGATGTAGATGTAAATTATAGAATAGAATAGTCACTTTCATCTCTACTATTTTTATAGTCAAGGAATTTATTTCCAAAACCTAAAGATGTCACAGTATAATCCATTCAAATGACGGAAGATGTGTCTACGATTATAGCTCTTGCATGTTATGTTGTGTTTCCACTATTGAAAAACATGTATAAATAAAATTGTGAATTATTTTTATATAGGAGTTGTAACTTA